AAGACTGGATAAGGTGTGAATTTTTAAAAATTAAGACAGGAATCGAAAACAACATTGAGCTGGGCATGGTGGTGTACACCTTTAATAATCCAAACACTCAGGAGGCTGAGGCAGGCAGATGGATCTCTGTGAGTTCCAGGAGTCACCCTGTCTTGAAAAACCACCAGCACCGTGAACAAAAACCCTAAACAAAAATTTGTGGGTCTGTGTATGGGTATGTGTATGTCCGTGGGAATGCAGGTGTCCTTGGAGGTCAGACACATCAGGTCCTCTCAAGTTGTGAGCCACGTATGTGAGTGCTGACAATCAAACCTGGGTCCTCCGTTCTTTTCTAAGTTTTTTAGAAACTCATTTACATTATGTGTTTTGCTTGCATGTATGTATGTGCACCACATAAGAGCCTGGTGCCCTCTGAGGCCAGAAGAGAGCCTTGGAGCCCCTGCCATCATCATTTTAAAAGGTGTGAGCCACCACGTGGGTGCTGGGAACCAAATTTGAGCCTTCCGTAAAAACTGAAGCTCTATTTGAGACAGGGTCTCACGTACACAGGCTGGCCTTTAGTTATCTCTTGTGTGCTGTATCACCAGCGGCCTTATACATGGCAGGTAAAATCCCTACCAACTGAGCTACCTCTCCAGCTTTTTCAGAAAACAATGCTGCCGCCGCCAACAATGGCTGCCTTGACGACCATGGTGTCTCACTAAGTAGCCCAGGCTGGCCTTGAGCTCATGGTTATTCTCTTGCTTCTACCTCACTGAGATTGTGGCACATGCCATTGTGCTGGCATTAGTCAGTTTATGATGGACTCGTTCTTCAGTGACTTACAAATGTTCTCAGACACATTTAAACTCTCTACCCATTTCACATCTTAGGTGACACATCACCAGTGTGCAGATGGAATTGGACATACGTTGACAAGCCCCGGATATGTGCCAGCAGTTTCCAGTTTTCATGAACTAGTCTGAAATCATTTTCTAAGCTCTCTTCCTTGTCCCTGAATATCAGCACCCTTAACAAGGTGATGCGATGGAGTCATGTGTCCCAGGATAGAAAGGCACTCTTGGCACTGTACAGGAGCCCAACAGCCTCCACTGGGTTAGGCATCCCCATCCCCATCCTCTGCACAAGAGGGCAGAAAAGAAACCACACACTGGCTGTCTGGAAACGAATCAGGGTGTGGGCTGCAGCTTCACTACAGGATCATTACAGGGATGGCACATCTGAGAATAAGAGGCTAGCTCTAGAACATCAATTAATCATCAGCTCAGCATTTCCTGTAAGCGGCCTGCCTGTTTGTTTTACCAAACCTCATTTTAAAATAGCAATCCTGCTGCTGTTGTACCCAACGCCATGGCATAATTTAGGAAAGGTATCATTAGCCTAGTGAGCACAATTTATTACAACTACCACTTAGAATCAATTAAAAACAAACAGCACTGAAAGCTGACTGTGCCTATCATGATGGCTAAAAGTGACCAGTAGCTGGCAAATGGGTGGAGACCAGGGTCACTTGACTATGGCCTAGGACTACAGAGAACAGAGGGGACTGAGCAGAGTCCCATGCACATATACCAGAATCCAGCAGGGTAAGCTAGGATCATCACAAACATGGATAGGAAATTCTAGGGTGACTAGCTAACACCTGCCAGCAGAATTCTCACTAGTAGTGGCTGGTATGCACTGTCACTCTATCAGAGAATACCAAATGGAGACTGAGGCACCCTGCCTATCCTAAGTCTCCAAAGAACCCTCTGTATTAAAGCCCATCTCACCCAGCGGGCTTCCATCTTTTAAATACCTCTAATGGTTTCAAACATTTTCTCTGGGTGCTGGAGAGAGATGGATCCTGGGGGCTGGTTGTGCAACCAATCTAGCTAAAACATCGAGTTCCAGATTCAGTGAGATCTGGTCTCAAAAATGAGAGCCAAATGAGAAAGACACCTGATGTGTTAACCTCCAGCCTCTGCAAGAGTAAGTTGTGCATGTACGTACGTGTGTACACACACACACACACACACACACACACACACACACACGGAGCTGACAACATCACTATTTTCAGAACAACTGCCATGTACAACAGTCTTGTTCCAATGGATCTAGAGAGCAGAGATATGACTAAGAATGGAAATTACAGGATGGCAAATACTCTCTCAATACATAAAATAACCATTAATAGCCATGGAAGTCATTTAAAGAATGGTCCAGAACTTTTCATTTCCCTCCTGAGTAGATAAGCATCTGACTGGGATGCTATTTAAGATTAGTATCTGGCCCAGGGAGGTGGTACCCAACAATAATCACAATAATGAGCCATGTTCTAAGTGCTCACTCAGAATGAGGCCCAGGTGCTCAGTGCTGGCTATGCATCTGTACAGGAGTTCTCACAATATCCTTAAGGCAGGTTGCTACCAGTTCCACTGCACGGATGGGACACCGAGGTTAACAGATGAAGTAGCATATACGAGGTGGAAAGCTTCCACAGACATGATCTTCATTAATCCTGTTCTAGTCTACCGTTTTAATTGGGTATTTTAATACACTCTGGCTCTCCAGTTTCTGAAATGTAGCCAGCATCACGAGTAGGGGAGGGTCTTGTATAGAACAGGCTCCAGCACCCTGGTTTGCTTTGGAGGGGAACAACATTCCTAAATGTGGCTCTAGAAGGAGCCATTCTAGAATTTAGGTCTCTCCACTACCTAAATTCCATGAGTATCAATGAAACCAGGGGGCAGGATAGGCAAAATAAAAAAGATGATTTAGGAATAAAGCTTATTCAGGAAACGCTGTGACTGCTTAAAAAAAAATTACTTTAAATTGTTTAAGTGCGTGCATATGAGTGCAGGCGACCCAAGCCAGGTGTTGGGTCCCAGAAACCAAACCCAGGCCTCTGGAAAAGTAGCACACACTCTTAACCACCACTTAAGCAAGCTCCCCAGCCACCCACAACTGCTTTTTCTATGTAACCAGGCCCTTAGGCATCACTAAATTTTTAACCATGGTCACATATGATACTGATTTAACAAACAAACAAACAAACAAACAAACAAACAAACAAACAAACAATCAACCAGCCAAGTGTGGTGGTGTACACCTTTAATCTCAGGATTCCAAAGGCAGCTAGATCTCCATGAGTTCAGGGCCAGCCTGATCTACATAGTAGGACCCTATCTTGACTACTGCCCACACCATGAAACAGACAAAACAAAATCTATTCCTTCTTTCAGTAAGAAATCACTATTGCTTTTGTCCTTTTGGCTATGACCAAGTGTGACATTGTGAACTTACTAAGTGTGCACATGGCAGGCAAATTACTTTGCAGAGTTTTTAGGCTTGCTCAAAAACTAGTTTGGCTACAATGGCCCATTTTCACTCCTCAACCTTCCAGTTCCTGAGAGAAGCCAGAGGCATGATGTCTTACAGGAACCTGAAAACTGAGGGGGAGAATTGGCTCTTGGACTAATTCCCCTCTCCCAACACAGGGTTTTTCTGCATGGCCTTGGCTAGCATGGAACTCACAAAGATCCATCTGTCTGCCCTGCCTCCAGAATGCTGGGATTAAAAAAGGCACACAGTACCATGCCCCGATTTCTGGGCAATGTTTTAATATCCAATGTCCTCTTCTCTCCCCACTGGCAGCCCTCTTGGTCAGAAGTCCTTCTGTAAGGCCCTTAAGAAAGGCTAGTGCACCATTCCTGCATAACCACCGCTTAGTTCTTCTCATTTTCAAAAAATAGCAAGGAATCAATACTTCCTCCGAGACAAACTTGGAGTTGCTTATGTTTTTACTTTCTATATTTGGATATATATATATAAAATCAGCACTTTAGCTTTTCTCTCTCTCTCTCTTTAAAGTAACTAATGCTGTTAGCATGTTAACAACAGACAGGATGGAGAGCAAGCGTTACAGTGAACTTGCCTGAGGACTGGTCCTCTGGGGGCAGCAGTAGCTCTTCCCTTGGGATACACACCCACAGTCTGCCACAGCTGCAATCCTGCAGAGGACCTGCTGTGCACTGCCGTCAATTCACCAAACAGGGTATGGGGTGGTGAGGGTTGGGCCCAAACCAGGAGCGAGCAAAAGAGGTACACCCCTTCTCTGGGCACTGAAGGTACAGCAGTCTCATCCTAGCAGAGTGGTTTGTGTTTAGAATGACTATTATTCTAATGTAGCACTAGCAGGTATGCAAGGGCACAACACTGAGTCCCACTGCCTGGCTCCTCCATCTAGCTGCTTCCATAGTGTGCATTCTTTTTTGTTTTTGGAGATAGGGTCTCACGTATCCCAGTCTGGCCAGAAACTTGCTGTTTAGCAGATGGCTGATCCTGAACTCCTGATAGCCCTGCCACTACTTTCCAAGTGCTGAGACCACAGACTATGACATCATGCATGACTTTGCAGCCTGTACTTTTTTAAAAATTTAAAAAATATTTATGTATATGAGTGTTTTGCCTTCACATATGTCTGTGTACCATGTATGTGCAGCACCCTTGGTCCAGAAGATGGTGTCAGATCCCTGGAACTGAAATTACAGATGATTCTGAGACATCATGTGAGTGCTGCGAACTGGACCTAGGTCTTCTGCCAAAGCAGCAAATACTCTGAATCACCAAGATCTCTCCAGCCCTGTAGCCTGGGCTGTCCTGGAACTCACTCTGTAGACCAGGCTGGCCTTAAACTCAACAGAGATCTGCCTCTGCCTCCCGAGTGTGCGCCACCACTACCTGGCTTGTAGCCTGCATTCTTAACAAACCTTAAGAATATGCCTGTAGGCACAGCCTGCATTTTGAAACAGCAGAAAGCACTCAGAAACACTTGGTGCCTGGGTAGGTGACGGTGGAGATGCCTTTACTCCCAGCACTCAGGAGGCAGAGGTAGGTGGATCTCTCTGAGCTTGAGGCCAGCCTGGTCTACATACTGAATTCCTGGCCAGCAAGGGCTAATTAGTGAGATCTTGTCTCAAAAACAAACATCCAACCAAAAAACCAAACCCACTCAAGTGTTCTCATCCAGCAATACACATACTAAAATTGGAACAATTCAAAGAAGATTAGCATGGCCTCGGCACAAGAATGACACACTGATTCATGACATGTTCCATATTAACACACACACACACACACACACACACACACACACACACACACACACACACACACGCATTCCCTTGGTTCACATCTGGCTCTGCCTTACAGCTGAGCTGGGCAGCTAAGAACAAACTGCCTGTGCATCCTCTGAGCCTGGAGATCTTCACCGAAATCAAGATAATTGTATCATTAGTAAGTCTGGTAAGAAGGTGTGAAAGCAGGGAGATGGTGTCGCATGCCTTTAATCCCAGCACTTGGGAGGCAGAGGTAGACAGATTTCTGTGAGTTCCAGGCCAGCCTGTTCTACAGAGTGAGATCCAGAAGAGTCAGGGATACACAGAGAAACCTTGTCTCGGGGGAAAAAAGTATAAATATTAAGATTATATAAATCAAAGGCATACTGAAATGATACAAAAATGTCAATAACAATCACAGTTAAAATGGCAATAATAATCTAACTTTCAGGTGAAGACCTATATGGGCCAGACACTGTACTAAGCTCTTAACTAGAAACAGAATGCCAAGTCTTCCCTCCCACTAATTCTGAGATAGATTACTGCTGTTGTCATGGGTTTGAAAAGCAGGAAGGTTTTCCTTTGGTACACAGTTTCATGGTGGAGGAGTGTGGTGGGATTTGTCTGTGGTTCCATGAATGTGAAGCAGCTTGAGTTACATCTTGGAGGATCAGGAAGCACCAAGGGGCAGTAGATTTCTGTTTTAATTTTTTTTTTTTAAAGGGTCTCATGTAGCCCAAGCTAGCTTTAAACTATTTATGCAGCAGAGGATGACCTTAAATTTCTGATCCTCCTGCCTCTATCTTCCAAATGCTGGGACAACAGATAAGTACTACCACATATAACTTATACATTATTTTTATTCTCATTTTTCAGAGCAACAGAATGCTCAGAGAGGCTAGGCTGTTTGCCCAAGGCCACAAAGCTGGCTAGGTGATGGAGCTGGGATGTGGCCAAGCTAATCTGGGTGTATTTCAGCTGATGGAGCACAGACGCATCATGCTACACCCAAAGAGGGCCAGACTCAAATGGCTACCAGGAATCCCCTCCCCAGTTCTACTTCAGGGGTTCATCTGTACCTAGGGGAACAGGTGCTCCTAGACACCCCTTCTCCCCAGCCAGTCCTGCTTTGCAGGCTTCCTGCTACAGTCTGCAAAGGTCAGCAGGAATCCCACTTGCCTGGTGCACTGGGTTCTCCACTGCTCTTTGCCTGCTGTGCACCTTGAGCTGCCTGGCCCTCCAGAGTTTCTGTCAGTTGTCCTCCCTCGCCAGGTTCCTTCTGCCAACACCACACCTTTCTCCCCGACAGTGTCCTGACAGTGTCGCACACACTGCATTACGACAAGCCTTGTATGAGCTGCGGCACTGTAGGCAGTGTGACTATACACTTCAGTGCCATGGTACATCTGCACAGCATGCCATCAGTCCCAGGACTGACTGAGGAGGAAGGGCAGGGTGATACGAGGAAGACACAAAGTCCCTGCTCCCAGTTTGGGCATCAGACGGCTTGGGCATCTGGGTGGGCTTGCTATGAACTGTGAAGCAGGGCTTTTGGAGGTGGCTCTGAGCAGAATACAAGCCCTGTGCTCCCCTGATGTCCAAGGGAACACACCCTAGGTCCCGAAGTGTGAAAAATGGGTATAACCCACAGCGGAGACAAGCACATTTCTCTCTGAGGAACAGGAGTGAAAGTTCCTAGCCACAGGACAGTTCAGAGAGCCCTCCTGTCGAGAATATGAGGTGCCCTCTCACTCTAAGTGACTCCTATCACCATACCCATATAAGCCTAGTGGCACAGGGGTGGTGCCAGCGTGATCATGAGTGCGGACAGTGTACTACTCCAAGGGAACTCATGGGTGAACAGACCTGTCAAAGCCACAGTCTCCTAGTACCTGGCTGCACTGAATCACTACACCATTGTCATTGTCTCTACACAGGATGCCAAACTCCCCAGAGCAGCCAGGTGGAAAAGCATCTCAAGGTCACAGACACATGTCTCCAATGCTGCAAGGAGGGTAGCGGTTCCTGATGCACAGTGGCCCATGAAAGGTATCAAAAGTCACCAACCACAGCTCTGGTTTTTAAGGAGTGCTTTTCATAGTCAGAAGCTTCTGTGACAAAAGCAGGTCCCAGGCCCTGCAATCCAGAAAAAAAACCAAACTTGTCTATATGTGGCCAGGGGAGGGGTGCTGTCACCTGACTTTACTCCAATGTTCACAGACTTTCTATGGAACATCCCTTGTTCCTGTTGACACTTCAGTTAACTTTGTGGGTAGACATAAGAAAAAAGTTCTCTGTTATAATAACATCACCTCCAAGGTGCAGCACTTATCAACTCTGGGGCCAAACCAGACCCAACACTTCCTATATCCTCTGCACAGACCCTTCCAGTTGTCCAGAGCTCCAGAATAAGAAAAAAGAGCAGAGCAGGCACAAAGAAGGCAGAGCTGGAGAGAAGTGGGCAGCCCAGGCCATACACCACGTTTCCTGCACAGCACCAAGCGATGTCTACAAGCTACTGAATACTGGTTATCTGTTAAGTGCTGGGCCAGGGTCCCCACAGTCCATGAGGGCCACGAGTGCTTTCCGATGGCTGTGCTCAGCATGCTCCAGCACCTAGAAAAGGTTCAGTGGCTGTGAGAGGAGAGAAGCGTTGACGTGCAGAATTTCTGGAGCAGGAGGAGGTAGGTGGTAGGTGGCAGAAGGCCATCATTCTATCAGCCATCATCTCTTCTGCACAAACATGTGCAGCCTCCACCTTCCCAAAGGCCTTCCTGCCTCCCTGAATCTAATGTCTTCATTAGTTCACTAGCTGCCATTTTCTGCTCTCCTTCCTGGTTTTTGAGCACAGGGCCATGGCTTGTCTGTATCTGGGCTGTCCCACAACAGGTGGCACTGCTCTGAGAGCTTACCTAAGTTCTTGGCCTCTTGGCCCCTTTGATACACTCAGTCTTCCCAGTCAACCTATGTGGGTCTTCAACATTTTTACAACTGGCCTTAAAGAGAGGAACAGGGCCTACTGCAGATGAGGTTTCTTGGCTTAGTGATGCCAAATCACTGCCCTCCCAACTGCCCCCAGTCTCCCCTCAGGTCTGTATGTGAACAGTGGGAAACTAAAAGACCTCCGTGCCAAGGCTATTGTGCCCGTGTTGCCTACAGAGCATGAGCAATGAGCTGTGCTTGCGAGAGTGGTGCACTCAGGACCCAGGAACGGCACACTGTAGGGTGGCAGCACCTGCCAGCACCCTCCTACTGCCACCACCAGGACTGGCAGGACACCGAACCTTTAGTTCCTGGAAAGTTCAAGTGAGAGGTCGGGAGTGTAACACTCCACCAAAGTAAGATGGAAGGATGAGAGGGAGGGATAGACAGACACCTCAAAAGCCAGGGCCAAAGGAATTCCCCAGATTCCAGCTAGATGGGGGATCAGGCCAGCTCCATGAAGGGACACTCATACAGGATAGCCTGCTGTCCCCATGACCCTGCTTGTCTTGTGTGGCACAAATCTCCTCTCTGTTCACTCAGGCCTGAGCAGCCTGCCTTTCTGATCTTCCCTAACACGCTGAGGGCCAGGGCAGTTAAGACAGCCAGGCAGAATGGGCCTGTTGGAACTACGTTGGGGACTTGGGCTGACACCCAGACTATTTCTGTCTTGGATGGAAGGCAGGGTTACTTGGTGAGACACGCTCGACTTCTCTTTGGCTGCTGGGCTCTCCGGGCAGCATGCCAGGGCACGCTGTTCTGATCATGAAGGGCACTAGGTCCTGAGGAAATCCTCTAGCAAGGCAGAGTCACAAGCTAAATGAACTCCACTTATCTGGATCACACAAGAGCTGGCGAGCTGACCGCCTGGATGTGTGGCAGTGAAGAATTTTTGGAATGTAAGCGACTTGTGTTTGCTTCACTTACAAGGAAGCAGAGAAACAGGAAGGTGATGAGGGACAGGTACGCAAAGGTAGGAAAAAAAAAAAAAGCAACCTAGGACAAGAGGTGATATTAACGCACACAGTGCCCTCCAACCACGGTGTATGAAATTACATACCTTATATTCTAGCGTTTTATTAGCAACGGAAAGGGCACAATGAAAGTGATCATTTGCAGTGAGCTTGTTAGTGTGTCCAGCCTTGTACTCACACCTACTATAGGCCACAGTGCATTTGGAGGCGACTCTAAGGCAAAGAGCCCCATGAGAAGCAGCCCCAGAGCATGGGCCTGACGGCCTCAAATAGCTCATCATGAGGCTCTCCCAAGCAGTTCTGTCACACCTAGTGAGGTGTGGAGGCTTCCTTGGTTCGAAAGAGCCCTGCTAGTCCAAGACTGTAAATCATAGTCCCTTTAGCTCAAAGCAGAGGAAGGCCTACAATGATTCTCTGAGCAGCCAGTGCTCAAAGGACTCTGAGATCTTTGTTTTCTATTGTGAGAAGGGATTAGTGCAGCTCTGAGAGGAACACTGTCCAGCTCCTGGGAGATTACTAATGTACAGTGAAGCTGGTCGGTCGGTGATGAAAAAGCTCTAGAAGGAAGAAGACTATGTTGATGAGGATCGGGCCCCTCCCAGCGCACTTCTCAGTTTCAAGTCATGGCCTCTGGTCTCCTTGTGGGTTCCCCCCAGGGGCTGGAGGAAGCCCACCTCCAAGGTATAGGATGTAGGAATACTGAGGAGAGGCTGGGCAGGGTGTGTAATAGGTGCCTGGTACAGGCTTCTAAATGCTCTGGAAATTTCCCGCTAACGCTGGGAGGCAGGCTCTCAAGCACAGAGGAACTATGTGTCGGGAACAGAGTCCAGTGCTATCTGGCCTGATTCTACTTTCCTGCAAGGCTCTAGGGTTCTACCTAATGCCTTATCTGGCCTCTGATAATCCAAATCATGGGAGGTTAGGAGGGCAATGAATGCCTCTTTCTGGACCTGGCTTTCCCAGTAGGGCAGTAGAGGGGACAGCTTTCAGGGATGTGAGGAGGACAGAATGAGAATCAGGGAACCCGGAGCCTGGCAGGTGAACTCCAAA